TTGGATTACTATATATATATATATATATATATATATATATTATAGTGTTGACTAGTTTGGATACAAACTTAAAAAAATTTTTGAGAAATTTTCAAATGAAAATTTGAAAGAAAATAAAGATCAGAAAAACTTTCAAAAGCTTTTATAAATCTGTATCCAAACATACTCCAAATAATAGTAGTTAGCATTATGAAAAACAAGTAAATTATTTAGCAAAAAGTCCTCCAAGGTTTTGATCATGCTTCATGCAAGGGTGATCTCCAATCTAGATCTTCATGTGGATAGTGTTTGTTGAGTTCCTTGGGGGGTATGAAGCAGTCCATGGATAAGCCAGGGACATTGAATGCAACGTCATCAATGGTCCAGGATTCTTCCAACCGTGTGATGGCAGGGCCCGTCTTTTGATTGTCTCCAAACCTTGTGATGATCACAGTTGAATGGCCAGCATGTGCAATCATGACACCATCCACCATTCGGTAATCCTCAATTTTGGTTGACATCGAGGTCTCCCAATACGTGGGGTGTGTCCCAGGTGATTGAATCCGGGTGAGGTAAGAGTCCTCAAGGTGCACTAGAAGCCCATTTTTTTGGCTGAAGTAGCCAAATGCAACGTGCTTGATCATCTCAGCAGTGCTATCACTGCGCTCCACCAGGTCCTTCTGATCTGCTGACACCTTTAAAACGAAACAATCCATGCCTGAGATTTGCTTTTCTCCCATGTATTGCGCAGCACAGAATACAGCAGAAACTGCCAAAGGGTCCAGTCCCTACAACACGTACACACAAATTGTCGTTTAAGGGTGACAATCACATAACCACTCACATCACTACTCATGTTCCGCAGTGGCAAACAGCACAGACATCACTTATATGCCAATCAAGTCAAGTCACTGTACTACATATTTGGTGTGTTTGCAAAAACTTTTTTTTTTTTGGAATGAAACTGATTTTAAAGTGAAGTCATTTATATTTGGGTGTTTTTATTCTAAAAGCAATTCATATAAGATTTTTTTTTATCAAATAGGTCAACATTTACTTCTTGGTTTCTAGTAGCATAGGGTACCACTACATATGGCCTAAAAGCCAACTTTTCCACATAAAAGTAGTTAGAAATTTAAGAGTTACATCAATTCAATTCTCCTATAAAATTGGTCATCCTTATAGAATTAATTTTGAACCATTGAAAAGTTTGTGCACATTAATCTGAATTTCGTATTTACTTTAAAATGGGCCATTTTTGTTGAAACTGTGAGAATTATTTTCTAACTTTAAAACAATATGGTCTTGGTCATGTTAAGCTTTATGATTCTTTTATCAAAGAATCTTGGGTGAGTAGGTCATGACAAAATAGCAACACGTGATCATCGACCCCTCCATAAATAAGAAAAGGAAACAGAAGAATGTGGTTAGATCAAACAAATGAAGGGAATTTAGTCGGAAAACAAAGATCCATTATAAACCAAAATCTTCAGCAACCAGCATTCATTAAATTTAAAAAGCAATTTGGAAGACATTTGATCAGGAGTCCACATCAGTTACATCAGAGATTTCACTAACCCTTCTCCCATGCCCGGACATCGCTCATTCCTAAAAGCGCTCATTCCTCGTAATATTATTATTTAACAAAAGTTGAAGCCATTCATAGTTATCATAATTAAAAATACCATCTCACTAACATGAAACTTGGATCCGAAAAACACGACCAACAACAATTGAGGAATTAAATACCCAGCAGCCGCAACAACAACATTAACAAATAGACAAACAAATCAGGCATATTAATGTCTGAGATCCCATATTGCCTAATTACATAGTTAAAATAGGTATCCAGGTGAGAGACAGCTCTCATCTCATGAAATAGTACTTTCTGCCATTGAGTTAGAGCCGGTTTAGATATCCACAATAAGAAATTTTGAGAGTTTATCAATTAAAAATAAAAAATATTTTTCAGTATAAAGCTCTAAAAATCTTTCTACACTTGTATTTAAATATGTTCTTACTCTTAATTAAACTCAAATTCTAAAATAATATCACTACTAAAAATTATTATTTGGACATAACAAGTAACTTGGTATCAGATCCCTTTCAAATGTCTGATATACGAGTATGCTTCCTCTTAAAATAGTTGAATTTGAGTCAAATTTAACTCTACAAAATCAACTTGTAAGGTCTAACGAACTTGTTACGTAGATAAACAGCGGGTAAACCTTTCTTAATGATCTAGGATATATGAACCTTTTTGATGATCTAGGATATCATGGATTTCAGCCTATCTCAATCCTATAAAACTTGATCGTACCGAGCTTGTATGGTGGGATATTTGCCGATACTCCCAATATATCAGACACTAATCATAATCTGACTTACGCTAGTGAAAGTAAGAGTTAATTTATGAGGCGAGTAACAGTAAATAGAAAATATAAAAAGAAGAGATGAAGTTGCCTGAAGAGCGCGTCGAAGAGGGCGAACGGCGCCTTTGGCGGCGTGTGCACGGAGCCAAGGGGTATGGCGCCAAGCGACGGTGCCATCGCTACCGGCGAGAACCTTGTGAGAGGCGGCAACCAAGTCAAACAGCCACTTGTGAGGGAACATTTGCCAGATGACAAAGCAGCCAGAGTGGGAGAGTCCGAGATGATCGACGGCGGACATTTGGAGGTTGCCGGTGGCGAAGACGTTCTTGACGGTGGCGTGGAAGTTGCGGGAAGAGGTGGCGGCGGTGAAGTGTTGGATGATGTAGTGAGCGGAGGAGGAGAGGTGGGGAGGAATGGAGTGGGGAGGGAGAGGGAGAGGGACGGGGAAGAGAGGGCAAGCGAGGACGCTGAGGAGGATCTTGAGGTCCTGCTTCTTCTGGAACAGTGATATCCACTTCCACTTGCGCCATTTGTTGGAGGAGCTTCTTTTCTTGTCTTGTTCGCTCACCGGTTCCTCCGATAAGGTGGCAAGACGAGCCATCTCAGAACACCAATGCGTTAGGTCTTAGGTGGGTGGAGAACTACCTTTTAAGGGAGCCAATGCCAATGCCAATGCCAATGCCGATTCAGACACCGACTAGTGCTGTACGGATACCCATCAAATCTAAAATCTTCTACTTCTACTTCTAGATCACTACACTCTCTGCTGATTTAAATATTTAGATAATTGTAAATACCCATTTGGTTTCCAGTTCAACAAGGGCAGTTCTAGTCAGTAGAAGGGTATGTAAAGGAGGCCCCAGTGTAATAGGAGGGCCTGAAGCAACAACCCATTAAACATATGAACCGTGAAAATTGGTCTTAATTCTTAACGAAATAAATAATGATATTTTTTATTACGATTATTTCATATCTTTTTTACTTACAAACACAACAAAATTTACCATGAGAGAATCTTAATCATTTTTTTTTCTCCCAATGTTTTTCGAGATTCAGTTGGTCGTTGCCTTTTGGATTTCAGTTAAACGGTTGATTTCTCTTCTCCGTTGGTAGCATATAGTCCATAGATAAGTTGTATCGCATCACACGCTAACGCTATCCCTTCTGAACATGCATGTATTATTAAGGATTAGAATTTCACGTGCCGGCGATACCACAAGCGTGTCAATGGAAACATAAGTGAGTTTCATATCCTATCACAATCAATCCTTACATTCTAAAATCTATGTTCGTTTCTCCTCATCAGTTCTTCTTTACTCGCAAGAGATTATTCAAATCCATCCTTTATATGATACCTCGACTCAGAGACAAGCTTAGTTAGACTTATATGTTAGTCCTTAAAATCTATAAATGCAATGTCCTATTTACTGTGAGCGGTTGAATTTAGCTTACATGCTTAAAAGTTAAAATTATACCTCCTTTGATGATCGCTGTTAACGTGATTACATGAGGAAGATGAGTAGCAATCTTGAGAGGATATGAGAGTTTTTTTTTTTTTTTTTTTTTTTTTTTTTTTAAAAA